TTGAATACTTCATATTAGTATAAAGGATTTTGAATTTTTAATGTTTAAATTGATAGATCTACCAATAGTCCTAATATGATCATTATTCATTGTATAAATGTATTGAAATCTCACACTGTACACCATAAATACAACAATTAGTATGTGTCAATTAAAATTAAGTTTTTGGGAAGCTGGTAAGATGGCAGATCAATAAGCAGCAAAGTAAAAAGCCTCTCTGAGAGAAACAGTTCAGATGCTGGAATATAGCATTCTGGAGAAGACCAGATGGAAGGAGATGGATCCTCTCAACCCAGGAAGAAACTAAAGTGAAAAAAAGAAAAGAAAATCATAGACAGAAGGCTGTAGCCAGACAGGCTTTCACCAGAGCTAGTCCCACAGTGTGCAAGGTGCTGCTGGGATCCAAAGATGTGTGGTTGTGGTGAAGTTGGGGGTTGGCAAGCCAAAGGGCCGCAGTGGGAAGACCCGGTCAAGTAGAGGAGCAATGGACCAGAGATCTGCACTGGTTTATGGAAGTGCCAGGGACTCCCACTATCCACTTGTCTGGAAGAAACCAGAAACATGACAAGAGGAAGAAACTAAAGGAAATCTCCAGCCTCTAACCCAAACAGTTCTGGTCCAGAAAAGGTGGACTTGGAAGAGATTGGGGGTTGCCCACCTGCAGTTTCTGAAGAGGCAGCATTGGACTTAAAGAAGTATCTATGAGAAATTATAAAAGAACTTAAAACAGAAATATTCGTACAAGTTCAGGAAGATATGAAAAAAATAATAAAGGAAATGTTAAGCACTTCTCAAGAGGACACAGATGAAAGAATGGAGGAGCACAGAAAAAGGAGGGAAACTTTTGATGTGGAATATAAAAAAATCTAGAATACATGAAACATATTCAAAGAGGTTATCATAAATTAAAAACTACATTAAAAGCTGGCAAAACTGCGGAAAGAAAATAAAGATAGACTATCAAACCTTGAAGACAGGTTTGCAATGTGTGATCATGAAAGGAAAGATCTCTTAAAAATAACAAGGAGCCAGGAAGTAACAATACAAAGGCTGGAAGATGACAAGAGGATCTATAACTTAAGAATAAAAAATGTGAGTGAAGAAGCAGGGGTAAACACAAATGAAATACAAAGGCTATTTACAGAAATAATTAAAGAAAACTTCCCAAGCATAAGAAAAGGAAATGATATTCAGATATATGAGGCTTACAGAACTCCAGCCAGCTATAACCAAAATAGATCTACACCCAGGCACATAATAATCAAGATCCCAGAAATTCAACACAAGAACAGAATATTAAAATTTTTCAGAGAAAATAAACAGATCACCTATAAAGGCAAACCCATCAGAATCACAACAAACTTCTCAACACAAGCCATCAAATCAAGAACTTGGAGTAAAGTATTCCAAACCCTGAAAGAAAATAACCTCCAACGCAGATTGATGTACTCTGCAAAACTGTCTCTCACAATTCATGGAGAAACAAGATGCTTCCATGACAAAGAGGAACTGTCATGAAGTATTTCCAGAAACAATGTTTTTATGTATTAGAAATTTGTAGGTTCAAATATTCTTCCTAATGTAATTATCTTTCCATGTGTGACTTGTGAGAAGGTGACCCATGAAGCAGGTCCTCAATAGAATTCAATTATGCTGATATCTTGGACTCAGACTTTCATCCTCTAGAACTATGAAAAAGTTCTCTGCCATTTATAAAAGCCACCCAATTTATGGAATTTTACTATAGCAGCCTTAATGGACTGAGACAGGTTTTCTTGCATGCATGTCTCTATCTAATTTCTTTTTTATAAGGACACCAGCTATTTGGGACTAAAAGTTTACCCTACTCTATCTAGTCTGACCTCATTTTAACTCTGCATCTGCAGTGGTCCTGTTTCTAAAGTCACAGTTGAAGATACTTCAACTCATTGCAGTTCCCATGCTTAAGTTCTATGTATTTTTGTTTTTTTGAGACAGGGTCACACTATGCAGTTCAGGCTGGCCTTGACCTCACTATGTATCACAGACTGGTCTTGAACTTGTAATGATCCTCCTAACTTAGCCTCCCAAGTGCTGGGATTACAGGTGTACACCACTTGCCCAGCTGATTGTGTAGATTTTAAGTAGTATTGAATAGTTCAAACTATCAAAAACATTAATTTTATCACTAGTGAATGTCTATATATGTGGAGAGAAACAGAATAAAAAAACTGGAAAGGATCATGTAACAGTAATGGCAGTTCTCAGTAGAGAAACACCTTCAACAATGTCAAAAAATCCTACTTGGTTTCATTCATTTCCTATGTGAGAGCAAAATCAAGCGACAAGATGCATTTCATATACAGTATTCCATTTATCAGGAACAAGCTAAGATGCTATTTGTATAGTTACCTACATGTAATGCCATTTTTTTCTGTCTTTTTAGACAGGGTCTATCTATGCAATTAAGGCTGGCCTTGAGCTCATTTTGTAGCCCAGGATGATTTTGAATTTGCAGTAATCCTCCTGCCTCAGTGTCCCAAGTGCTACAATAACAGTTGTGCACCAACACACCTAATTGTAATGCCATCTTTCAGCACTTCTCAGTTGGAAAATTCCCTACAGATAGGTTTCTTATATAATTTCCACTGATGCTGGTTTAAATGAGTCTGAAGTCTTAACATATTGTTTTATTTCACTGAAAAAAAAAGTCTGGTATTTACATACCAGATAGTAAAATATTTTTAATATTGAATCAATTGATGCAACCCTTAACTCTGATGCTTACTACAGCCATAAAAAGCATACTTTTCAAAATGTGTAATACCTCATGAAACCCTGGCTTTAATTTACTTTTCCTTGAAAGACCTTTCTGAGAATATTTGCATTGTCAGCAGCTTAAATTGACCACAGAAATGATAACTGAATAATTTAGAAAATTGTAAGATGACTTAGACATTTAAGATGTGTATAAGGTAATTAAAACCAAACTTTAGGAGTGCTTAGGCCACACTGTAGTTCCTTACTATACAGCTGGGGTCACTGCCTGAATTGCACAAAGGCATATGTTCAATTTAAAGTTGTAATGAGGAACATGGGGTATTTTGATTCTTAATTTTCTGTGCTCATCTCTACAGGATGCAATTGCTTACATTTAAAAATGAACATAGGCTTTTTTGTGGAGCATAATAAAATGTGTAAAATAATATGCACCACATGCATGTGTGGTTGGCATATGGCTTTTCTCTGAGTATGAAAACATCGCCCTTAGCTGCTATCATGGTGCAGGCTCATGGAAATACTTATTATTATCCACTTGGGAGTGAGACCTTTGATTTCATTAGTTTGATCATGATTATTCCATTTTAAATGGTGTTTATAAATGTGTTTTCAGTAGATTATTCACTTCCAAGGAAAGAGAAATGCAGATTTTGAATTTTGCTTTTGTTTCATATCATAAAGACATAAAGCTCATTTTTTCTTTTCTTTTTATTTTACAGTTAAAAGTGAATGGCATTAGGGTTTCAGTTTTTTCTACATGTTGGTATACTTGAAAATGCTAGCACATATTCCTGGGATAAGAAATATTTAGAACATCAAGCTGCAGTACAAGTTTGTGTTTGGTAGATAGTCAGCTGTTCTTCCATGAAAATTTGGTCTGTATCCCAACAATCATTCTATCAGTTTTGGAGTGCAACGGTAAGGCTGCCTATATTTATGGTCTTACTTTGGCTTTATACAAAATAAAATAAGTATAATGTTTTATTCTAAATGCATGAAAGAACGAGCTATTAAAATTTCTGTGATTTGGACAAAGATGAAGAATCATTGGAACTGGTAAAAAATAGGGCTGAAAAATGTCATTATCTCTCTGGAATATAGCTAACAATCATTCCATCTTTTATTTGTCACTAATCTTTTCCTTTGATGCACAGTTCTTAACTATTTCCAACTATATCATTGGCAAATTCTACACCCTGAATCTTTGTGGCCGTGTGAGTGAAGGCTGACTCTTTATGTGCTGAAGCCCCTTGTCATACCGGTGGGTCTAGTGGTTAGTGTGTCACCCAAACCTGATCAGTAAGAGCCACACCTAGTATTCTCTCATTTTCAACTCTTGAGAAAGAAATGGCATTTCGGGTTGGCAGGTGTAAAGTCAATCTGAGATAAGAGGATATGAGAATCTGAGAGGAAACAGGTTTTAGTTTTTTCATTTTTCATTTCTGGTAGAACTCAAGAGTTGTCTCCAAGCTCCCCACCCCCTAGCAATTTTTCACAATAATGTCTTTTTTTCTTCTTACAGCACAGTTTAAACTGCAAAAATCCTGTCTAGTGAAACAACAATAAAACTTTTATTTAATATGGTATTTGCTTAATATGGTATTTGCTTGCATGTATTTGTGGTATGCTAATGTACCAGATATCTTCTCTTCAGTATTTCAAACTTCCTGCATATTTCTTTATTAAAACAAGTTTGGACCAGCTGAAGACTTACTGATAGGAAAACATTTATGTTACTTTATTGAATAGTCATAAATCCTGAATTAAAAGCATTCAAACTACTAGAATTTAAATTGTGCCCATGAGCTTGCTTGAAGCCCTGGAACCAACTTGCATTATTATGTACTTTTTTCTCCCTACTTTTCAAATCAAATTCATTGGCCTATTCCATCTCCTTGAAATCAAATTTTGCAGCCTCCTGGCTTTCCTCCAGAAGTCTTTCATTGTTTCACAAGCCATCCTTGTTTTCAATTCATTCTTTTTTATCCACTGTGTAAACTAGGTGGACCTGAATACTTAGGAAAATAGAAAGCATTTGGTTGTTATTAGAGTAAGGATAGCCGACTCACACATGTAAAACATTAAAGAAACCTTATAAATGTTTGAGTAATTTTTTTTTTTTCTGTTGTTGTTTGGGGCTGTGGGGTATTTAACCACATCCTGCCATGCATACAGCCCTCCAGCTTTTCTCTTTAATACCAGGTAGAGTTTTAGGCTAATAAAACAAACAAGGACAATAGTTTTATTTTCTTTACCCAGCATTTTTATTGTTTTTATTTAAATGTAACATACTATACACTGTTCAGCCTTTCGGGAGGTAGGAGGAGGGAGTGATTCTGCATCTTTAGGAGGAGTCTCCTCAGAACCAGCACTCAGGGACATGTATTTGTGGCTGATGCATCTTAACGTTGTGAGCCAGAGCTTATACTTCCCACAGAGGCAAAACCTCCGAAATCTCTACTTTTTTAAGCCTACAACATTCAGAAATGAAACTTCTTTTCCTTCAGTAGTTGCAAAGGGGACCAGAATTCTATATCAATAGTCAGCCAAAAGGCCTTTTTTAAAATACAGAAGAAACTCGTTACTCCTTACCAAACTGTGTCTGTCTTAATCGCTACTAGGATGTGTACGGAGGAGGGACATGGAGGAGGGGAAGAGATGCTTTCTATTTTTGGATTCTGCAAGCTCTGATACATTTTGCTAGAAGCTGTTTTAGTGTCTTGAGTACTGTAATGATGACTGTTTACACATAGTCTCTTTGGTAATCTAAGAGGCTATGTGAAATAAGAACCCAGTTTGTGCCCTATTTGCCGTTACTGTGGTCATCTAATACCATATTTGTCTCACCAAACATTTAATTTTGGTTGTGGGTGGTCTATGTTCATGTGTCAGGTACAATTATTATATTAAAAGAAAAGAAAAAAGATATCTGGTTTTCAAAGGAATGCATTACATTATAGCTCTCAGATTCAGTTACCAATTAAAATTTAAGGTACATATTTCAACCACAGAAAATTAAACATTTTTAGAAACCTATTTGTCAAAAAAGTTGAAAGCAAAGTGTTATGAAATACAAATTTAGCCATAAGCCAAACAACTGTGTCTCACATGTATTTCTTTTGAAATGCCAACTTTTTAAAGGAATCATGAAATGTGATCATTTATTGGATTATTTTATGGGAACTAGTCTTAATAAGACAAATTTTTAAATTACAGATCAACTGGAAGTTCTGTTTAAGCATCAACACGAATAAGTTATAAGAGAATCAAAAAACACCATCCTTTCCAGAGTTTAAACTTCAATAAAAGGACACAGTGGTTTGTCTTTTCCTTATACCAAAACACTGTGCTCAAACAAGAAAAATAAACAGACTTTTTCAAAACAAGAAATATGAAGATAAAACTGCAGCATCGATATAGTCTCATTACTTAAAGTATTTAGAACAAAAATATTTTTCTACATTTTTATAATCACTACAGACACTGCAAATAAGACTTACGTATGTATTTAGTGGATTACAATGTGTTGATGACTGGTAAACTTACTTTGTATGTACTATTTTTATACCTGCTCTAACAAAATCAATTTTGAAATGCTTACATCATGGAACATTCTAAAGCTCTTTAAATTTACAGAAAATAAGGTTTATTTGGTTTTGAAAAGACTAGATCATAATAGCTTGAACAGGTCTCAATATATGATTACACATATACCAGGACATATTTGCTCTAAGCCCCTAGGAGAGTTGCACTTCATATCTAATTAGTGATGATTCCTTTAGGGGACTTACAAAGGGTTCTTATACAGAATGTATGCAGACAGCCTTTAATCATTTAAGCACTGTGACATAGGGTAAGAAATGATTAGTAAATAACAAGGCTAGGCTACTTAACAATTAATTTTTCTTCTTTTTGCATATTCCTGGAAATGATTTAATGTATTCAAAGAGAAGAATTTGGCTTTCTGGTCTATTTCATAGGAAAGGAAGCCTCAGGAGTAATATATGTTTTTAAATGATGGCAGACATCTCTCAAGCCATGGCAGACTACTGCCTTATTCATTACTGATGGTTCTCATCGCACAAGTGCAAATAAATCAGCTGATAGCACATGGGGCACTCATACTGCTTCCCCAATCTCATCTCCTAGTTTTGAAGTGTTTGCCAAGTTTCAAAAACACTTTGTCATGAACATGCATGTGGTGTGCTCAAGAAAAAGAGAATGTAAATCAGAAGGAAGTTGCTGGCGATACTCTTTTAAACCCCAAAAGATATTTAACATCCTATTAAATAAATAACTTAGAAAGAAATAGAAAAGGATGAAGGAAGAATGCACAAGCATATCATACTATTTGTATTGTTAGAACAGTCTCATACTAACATGTTTATGTTTTTAAATCCTATCCAATTCTTCCATGTGCCACACTCAATGCTCCTTTGGTTGCACATATGATCTGACCCAAGTGCTTTCCAGTAAATGCTTGCGTGTCTTATTGCTCATTGAATCATTAGGTTTGAATGAGCAATGAAAGTCTTTGATATGAGTACGTGTTCCATAAATAACTTTCCCGAAGATCACTCAACAGATTGTTCCATGTCCTTTGAGTTCTATCTCAGAGGTTCAAAAACAAAAAAATTTAAGAAGCCCAGCCACAATGCTCTTCTCTTGGGAATAACTTCCATCCCACTTCATCTGCCTATATCTTGGTTATAATGCATGACACAGAGCTAGTGAAAAGAATAGCATATGTCAGCCACAAGTACACAAAACTTCCAAAGGTTTTCTTTCTTTTAAGCAAGCAGACATCTGCAATGTGTCTTTGCCTTTTGAGCTACCATCTTCAGGAAGAATATCATTATTCCTGGTCAAAAGCCTTTGGTTCTATTGCATCCGTGAACATGCTGTCTTCTATGAGTGTACCACCATTGGAAGAAAGTGAGCCGAGGTGTTTTTCCTTCGGGTTTTTTGTCCTCTTCTGGGAGCTCCTTTTCCATTCAATGCGACATACATCTGCCTGCCATTGTGCTGCCAGTTAAAGGATGCATAAGTATTGTATCCATTTTCTTCTATCCTTTCCTTCAGCTTACAGTCATTGTTAAATTCTTTCTGCAAAGAAAAAAATAATCTTTTATTCTATGATAACACTTGATTCTATTAGACAAAAAGGACATCTACAGAACTCCAGTCAATGGTTTTGTTGGCAACTGCCATTTTCACAAAAGTTGTGCACTTAAAGCAAATGTCAACAATAGAAAAATAAAACTTATAAGTACAAAACATATTCTTTGCTTGAAAGCACATGAATCACTTTAATTAACCATCATATTCACTTAGATCTTTCTAAAGGGTCTGCTTTGAATATATCATGGTTTAAGTGCCTATAATGATTGTTATGAAGTATATATACACCAGGGATAGAGCTCAGTGGCACAGCACCTGATTGGTAAGCAAGAGGTCATGAGTTTTATTCCCAGTACAAAAAAAAAAGGAAGCATACATTCTATTAACAATATTGGTGATAGAGAACAGTGTCATATCCTTTCTTCCACAGTGACAAGGGTTCATATAGGAAATACGGAATTGTAGGAAATATGAGCTTATGAAATTTGGTATTTATCTGTCTATAGGTCTATAATAAGTAAACACATACTGGAATAATGATATTCTTCATGAAGTTGGTAGCTCAAAAGGCAAAGACACATTGCATTACCAGGAAAACCATGATAATACTATGTAACTAAAAAGGGGGAAAGCCTTCCTCTTTTCTAAATAACAAATTTCCCAACTTTAAAAAATTATTTATAGCTTGCTATGACCTGGAATAGATTTAATAGATTTTGTTCTACACTCAAAAATGCTTGAAAAGTAGGACATGAAAAATGTTTCATTTGTGAACTGTTTTGTCAAAGAAATTATAAACATGGCAAGTAACAATGACTCCAGTGTTTAAGCCTGGAGATTTTGACTATGGGAAGTTGTATTCTACATCCAGAGCTTTTTGGCTTTGTCTCGGGTTATCAAATAGTTTTTGGAAGTTCAGTTCCAAGTCTCATTCTCATTCACTCCAGAATCTTACTCTAGAGTCATTAACAAAAGAGAAGCTCAATTGTCTCAAAACTCTGCCTTCAGAAATATATTTCTTCCCTAATATTCAAACTGAAGTAGTTAGGAAGCTGAGGAATTGGGACTCTTGCCCTTCTGATCCCATTTTTTCCCATGCAAATCAAAGGTACTGTAGTTTATTTTGGTTTAGGATTTTATTGGCTCATTTACTTTAACTTAGAACATTTAAGAATCCCGGATGGCATTTATTCAAGTTTCTATGGGCTATTACCAATTTAAACTTCCATTCCCAAAGTTTTTAGTCCTATGAGCTCCTCTTTTTAAAAAGTGATAATTAAATATAACATTCAAATGATGACTAAGTTGATTAAAAGTTAGAACACAAGATAAATTAAGATCATGAGTTTAACAAATAAATAAATATTCAAAAAAGAAATTTAAACAACTAATATGGATTTTTAAATTCATTTCACTGTCTAAAAGCCATATGGTTTTCAAAGCAGAATTTTTTTACATTGACAGATATAAAAATTTTGAAAGGGTCACAATTTAGAGACTATAAAAGGATTGGGAATATTTTAAGTAATTTTACATTGGTGATGACACTGTATAGAACAGTATGAGTGTATGCTTAATTACTTTTCCTCCCTAGAAGTGAATTATTGAGCAATGTCTCTTAAGATGAAGTGCATTTGAATCAGTCTCCTCATCTTATATGTTTTTAACATTTAGGCCATAATTCAAATGTGTCATAACTTTAATCTCTGAAGGAGGGGTGTAGAAATCTATTTTGCTCACAGAATGTAGATAAACCTTAATTACTAAAGTTTTTTTTTTAATTAGGTTACAGCAATGTTCCAAAGTAGGATTTTGGAAGTTAGAAAATTTTTTTTGACTTTCTCCAATTATATGAAATTTATCTGGTACTCTACTATTCTCTATGAAAGTCTGTCCCACTTGATTCAGTTTTATAATTTATTTAAATGTATCAGTCAAGAAGAAATCAGAATACAATAGAAGCATTGTCTGAAGAATGGCTATGGAAAATATGGGAAAATTATACATTTTTAAGAAAAGAACAGAGGAAACTATTCAAAAGAGAAGAAATATAAGCATTTAATCAGTCATTCTGAGTGTTTGTCTAATTGATATTTTCCAGAAAGGCTTATGAAATCAATGGGAATTACAGGAAAGGAATGAAGACAGGAATAACACAAGTTGTCATGTGATATACAGAGTTACTGACAGAGATGTTTAGATACAGAATTGTTAATGCTGTTCCATTCTCAGCAGGACATTCAATTTTCGTACATCTTTCTTTTAATTAAACACATCATAATTTTTCATTACTCCTAGTAGTGATGAAAATCACAAAAGAGGAACCCTTTAGTTACAGAATGTTTTTCTTCTAAGTCAGGCTGGAAGGGAATGGAGAGTATATTTTCTAATGGTTGAGCTAATAGGGAGGGTGTCAGGTTTATGCATTATATAATTCTGTACTTTCTGAGGTTTCAGGTGATGAATTCATAGTAAGAGACAAGGTTGATCCTGCTTCTAAAGGTCACAGGCTATTGAGAAAAGAAATTAATATACAAACACATTAATGACAGATATATCAGGTAAGAGCATTGCAGAGGAAACAGAATAAGGCCACGTGATATCCCAGAAAGCATCTTGGCAGTCAGGCACCATGATGCACCCCTGTAATCCCAAGCCTCAGAAAGCTGAGATAGGAGGACAGCAAATGTAATACTGACCTGGTCTACATAGCAAGACTCTGTCTCAAGACAAACCAAAGTCTTGCCATCCAATTTAAATGAAGATATGGAAAGAAGTTAATTGGCAGAGCTTACAGCCCAAGAAGAGAAGATAAGCACAATTCGTGAGCTGTATTGGAGTGCAAGGTGGAGAAATGTGATGAAAAATATTAAATATTTCCATGCCACAGTTCATTTGAGTGTTATGAGTAACTATTTCTCCTTGATGTGACATTTTTAAATAAATATATTTTACTCTTAAAATTAGACTCATGCTGCATCCCTTGATCAAGATCTGGGCCTGACACAATGAAGCACATCCACATTCCTAAACTGGTCTACTACGATCATCATTCAAATTGTGGTTAAGAGGCATGAAATGACCTTACAGGAGACCAGCTGAAATGCACTTACATTGGGTGCAGTGGCATATACTTATTCCAGCTGCTCAGGAGGCTGCCAAGGATATCACCAAGTCAAGAGCAGTCTGCACAACTTAGTGAGACCCTGACTCAAAATAAAATTAAAAAGGCCAGGGGTATAGCTTATCACTAGAGTTCCTGCCTGACATGTATGTTACCTTGGGTTTAATCCTGGCCTTTCTTATATTTTTATAATTATTTATTCTGTAATATAATTACTTATTTATGAACATTTTCCAGATATATTGTCAGTTATTTGAAGTCAAGCCTCATTCTGTATGTGTATTTCTTATGCCAAATGATAGCTGGCATATTCTAGGTGCTCATATGATTGATGTATCTCTCCTAAAATCCTGAACAGGATAAATTGCTATACCATTTGTAATTTAATTATAATAATGACTACAATTTTTATTCTAAAGTAACTATTCATTATTTTAATGAGATCTTAGTCTAAAAGGACTGATATTAAATGAGTCTGATCCATGGAGGCAGAAGTGATATTCAATATACTAAATACTAGTTGAACACAGACAGGTGCGATGTGTATATATACGTGGCACTGACTGAATGCCAGCTTCATAAAGACATTACTTCAAGGAACAATATTTTCATATATATTAATGATATTCAGGTGTACTTTGAATTAATGTCTGCTATCTAGATAAATATAGTTCTAAAGTTCCTTGAACAAGCCATGAATTAATTTCTTCATGTTTCCCCATTTGAGATTTTAATAAAATACGAAACAGCCCTAGTTTTATCCTCAACTGTGACACACATATATGCATAGAGAAAAAATTATGATTTTCCACTCAATTTGAGATTTTTGTTTTTAATGATTCTTCTCCAAGTTATCTGCAGCTCCTGTGCTAATATGACCAGATGCTTCTGTGAGAGATGAACTGGTTTGCAGTTCAGAATGTTCACAGACAAAAGTCAGCAACAACCTGTGTGGTAGGCTGATGGGTGAACAACAGAGGATATGACATTTTTGGAAGCGTTGCTTTGCCAGCCTTTGTGACTCTGGTGAGCAGCCCACTGTGGCTCTATTTACTAGTAAGAGAAGGATAACAAAGCTATTTCATGTTGGGAGGAAACAGTCCAAAACTGCGGTAAATCACCGCAATGGTTTTGAAAACAGAAGCAGATACTTACTGAGCCATAGAGTTTCCCCTTCTTGTTCATGGCTAAGTAATAGTTGCTGTTAATGGCTTTGACGGCAACAACTCCAATCTCCACTGAGGTTATCTCCAGGATACCTAAAACATAAAATAAAAAAGGGTAAATGGAAAAAAGTCATAGATTTAATTGAAAGTGAAATAAAAACATATTAAGTATAGGCTGATGGTTATAAAAAGATGGTTAAAAAACGAAGGAAGGGTTTCAACTAAACCTGCTTTAAAAAATCTAGCAAATATTTCCAGTAAATATATGGAAACAAGTAATAAGGCTTTAAAAGGATTCCCTTCCATTTTACTCTGAGCATGTACAGAAAAATATTGTTCCAATTAAAATGTTTCCTTTGCTAACTCTGCATTTTCAACTCCATAAATATTGAAACAACTCTACTCATCTTAGCCTTGATTTCACAAAAACTTATCAGAGCCCACATCTGTACTATGGTATTAAATTAAATCCATAGCATATGTCAATAATGTCAGATTTACTTCAATCTGTAAAAACAATGGTAAACTATTTTTTATTCACAGGACATTTAGATAAACTAAATCTTTTGGCTACAGTTATCTTATAAATTCATTTTTGGCAAATACATTGACATTCTGACATACCAAAAGACTAATCCCAACTGCCACAAAGTCTTTGAAGTAATAGAATCAATACGAATTTTTTTCCTACAAAGAACAGAAAACTGAGGGAGTTAGTAACTGATAGATCAGGTCTTTTCCTCCTAGTACACAGGCTTAAGATTGGTGTATCCAAAGATAATTTCCACAGAAAAGGTTTTAGGTAGCTATAGGCGAGGCATTTAATATTGTAGAGCCCTCCCTTTTCAGGTTAGGATATCAGGAACTAAAACTACTTCTTCTTTCATGACTTTTAGTAAAGCTTGCCCAGAGTAGAGAAAGTAGCATTGCAAATACAATGTGGTCTCTGGATCTAGCATATCTGGTTTTGACTTCTGGTACTGCCTTACTAATGAATGCTCACAAAAGTCACTGAATTGTTCCATGTTTCAAATTCATTTGTAAAAGGCAATATAATTGTATCTCCCTCATAATCTCTGTGAAGATAAAAGAGGCTTCACAGTTTGAATTTTCCCAGAGAGTAGTATCTCAATTATTATTAAAGGAAAATTATTCCCAAATAGTTTTAGATTTTAGAACTTCAACAAGCTATGTAAATCCTGAATTTCTATTGGCATAACCCATAGGACTTGAAACTGATTTATATACTGTGTCTTAGTTATTTTTTTCTTCTTACTGAGACAAAATACCTAAGACCAAAAGTTAAAGAAGAGTTTATTTAGTCACAGTTTGTGGAGGTTTCAGTCTGTAATCAGCTCTTTCCAAGGCAGAGTGGTGTGGCAGATGAACAACTGTTTATGGTGGTGGAAGACAGCAAAAGCAGCAAGAGCAAAAAGGGAGAAGTGTGAGAGAAAACTTTTCCACCCTGTAGGCTACCCAACCTAGAATGGGTGCAACACTCTATGCATAATCACAGCACTAGACAATGAATCAATCACAAATTCTAGAGTTATCTCCTTTGGAAAAGCAACCTTCTGTGCCTGCATGAATCTTTGGGGGAACACCCAGATATAAATCATTACATTCTGCCCATAGCCCTCCAAAGTCTCATGCACAATCTTTATATAAAAGACATTTAGTCCATCTCAAAGAGTTGCCAAAGTCCTAACAGCTTTAGCATTGCTGAAAAGTCCAACTCCCAAGTCTCCCCTGACATTTAAGGCAAACTCTTAGCTGTGAAGCCCATACAAATGAAAAGAAAGTTAAGTGTTTCTAACATTCTATGGAAAAAGACAGACATTTCTATTTCAAAAGTTACAAAGAGAAGAAAACAATGGAATAGGACCAAAGCATGTCCAAAATTCAGGAGGCCAAACATTAAGTCCTGTAGTTTCATGTGCAACATCTGAGATATTCTGTGGCAAGTTGTGAGCGCCAAAGGGATTGGGGACTCTACTGCTAAGACACTGCTAGTGATTGTAGCTCCCATGACCCCTTCCTTGGGTCCACTTTTCTTTCTCCTTGCAGGTTTCCTCAGATGATTCATGTTCTTGGATTCTCTAGATTTCTGGGGTCTCCACTGCACCTTTGGATTCACCCTTACAGCTTCACATATTTCACTCCCAGGAGGACACTGCCTGGGTTCCTAGGCCTTCTTCTGAAATCTGGATGGCAGCCTTCTTAATAGCTTGCATTCCACATGCACCTAAAACCAGTGTCACATAGATGATGCCAAGGTCCACAGCCAGCTGGAACAGTAGCCTGGCTTTCTTCTCTCTCAGCTGTAGGAGTGGAATGCCTGGATCTCTAAGCACTCTGAACCTGATTCTGAGGAATAAATTCTCTGTGCTGAATTGTTGTTTTCTTAAACCTGGTACAGTCACTGCCATTTTGGAACATGGTGTTCTGTGGCTTTCTCTTCAAAGTAAAACCTTTTATTGCTGTAGTTTTGAGGATGCAATGGGTGGAGACTTTCTGGTTCTTGTGATCCCCTCAGGCCATCTTTCATTTTATCCTGTTCCTTCTCAGCAATGGAGATTCTCTCAGCTCTATCTTGGTAGTCCACAGCATTACTAGAACTTCCTTCTTGGCCAAACTCACAATGTTTTAAATCATCCTGCTGGGTTCTTTGCTTTGATTCTCAACATAGATCTGGCTAAGAGCCCCCAACAATAGCCATGCCACAGCTTCAACATTTGACTGCCTTGAAATTTTTTCTGCTTGATTAATTACTCTGCCATACCTTAATATCAGTTTCAGGCAAAATCTCTGGATACCAGCAAAATGCAGAAAAACTTTCTGCCAAGCCATATTATCTGGAATCCAGCATCCTATTGGATGTTTTTCTCAGCAAAAAGCTCCTGAACCTGGTCTTTACCTGGAAGATTTCTATCAGCCTTCTAGTCTTCAGAGCTCTGACCATAATCACCCATACAGAACAGCTTAAGGCATTCCAGCTCTATTCCTTCAGGTGAAATTTCTAAACCTTTTTGTTCAAACTCTCCCTACAAGCCAAAAATGCTCTTGAACCACGTGGCTAGGTATAGTCACAGCAATGACTCCATTTCTCTGTTACCAAATTCTGTGTTGGTTATTTTTCTCTCCTTGCTGAGACAAAATATCTGACAACCAAAATTAAGGAAGGAAAAGTTTACTTAGCTCACAGTTTTTCTCTGTTTCTTAAATAGGAACTCAGTATTCAAAGAATAATCAATTATTTTTTCTACTTTATACACAAGGCTAACTCAAAAAGATTTGTTTGCCTACTAAGCTCCTTATTTTTATGATTGATATATAAGATTTGTACATATTCATGAGGTACTATTTAATATATCATACATGTGTACATTGTTATGTTCACATAAGAACAAATATGCCTGTCTTCTCAAACTTGAAAAAGTTTAGTAGTGATTCAAAATAGAAAGGACTATCTGCAAAATTTAATGTTTTTGAATTCAAAAACAATTTTTGGTGCACTACCTGTTAGTTATATTATAAACTGAAATGCTCTTATGAGTAATAAAGACTGCATTTATTATAAAATCTGTGAGCGTGAAAGTGACCTCAAGTAATGATACTACAGGGATTCTCTGATTCTCTGATTTTCATGAGGGGATTCTCCATTTTTCATTTTGCATCTTTGATGGATATGATCAAGTGTGCCTATAAACTCATTTTGGGAAGTGAATGCTATTACATTGCTTGGAAATTGTTAAATCGATAGCTTATTTTTCATCTGTGTATACTGTGATGTAAGGTTCCATTCTTTCTGAAAGAGCAGCCTGGAACAAAGGGAGTGAGGGTAATTCTAGAGTGCCATGTGTTTCATGTAACTTATATGACTCAATCTACAATTATTTCAGATATAAAAACACAAGTAACACCTGAAAATTATAGCATCAATAAAAGGGAATATAAAGTATATTTCTCATTCAGCCAATTCAGATATTTTGTAAATTAAAAGACATATTCTCATAGTGAAATTCTATGATTTATATTTAGTTATAATCATTTCAGTTTTGTTAGCCCTCAAAAGATGAATATGCCAGGTGGTATTGTAAATCTATTTAAGGGCATCTGGACAGTGTAGTTCAAACACTTGAGAGATATAGTAGGAAAAGGGCATTATTTTAAGAGCTGGAAATACAAAGCCAGATAAGTTGTAACTCTTTTCTAGAAAAGTCTGTGTTCTACTGGGAAAAAAGACAAATGCAGAGAGAAGCACCATAAAACATACTATGTGATAGGAGGAGTCAAGATGAGGTCAGAGGCACTGTGGAGAAAAGCAAGGAGCTCCTAGCTGGGTAGGGCTCCCAGGCAGGCTCATCCCTGAGACAGCTGAGATGAGTTTTAAGGGCAAGTCAAAAGTCTCCAGGAAAAGGGAAGCAAGACATGAACAAAACCAGTAAGGTGCTACATGATGGTGTTTTCAGAAAAATCAGGAAATTCTGATTATTAACCAAGATTAGGGAACAAGGGAGAGAAAGCTGTGCAACATTAAACTAGAAGTTACAGACTCAGGTCAGAAATCTTCCTGTACAGATTCTACAGATTTTAACAAATAGGAAATTCTTTATTAAAATATATATGTAATTTAAAATATATATTCATAAATATATAATAAAATGTATAAAGCATACGTTAAAAAAGCAATATTTAGCATATGTAAGTAATTGATAGCAATTTGTGTTTTATTTTGAGTTTTAAAACTTAATAAAATTTGACAATCAATACATTATAAAAGCGTTAGTGACAAAATTGTCTCCTATCAATAGACTTAGCAGATGCTGCCTACTGAGGTACCATTACCATGGCAGTGGGGAGAATTTTGCAACTTGCTGAACTACAAATGCAAATAAATTAAAACCCATAATTTCTAAGTAAATCATCTTTCTTTTTTAACTCGCAGAGTATCAGTATATAATTGTTAGCAGTGGTTATATTTTGAGGAATTAGGCAATAAATGCAAGAGGTTGGCATTCAAAATTGTATTTTCTAGATTTCTGTTTTTGAGTTTCCATTTGTCCTCCAGAAGGGACCCTCTGACTTGTTTG